AGATGGAGAGATATACCATGTTCTTGGATTGGAAGAATCAATATTGTGAAAATGACTATACTACCCTAAGCAATCTACAGATTCAATGCAATCCCTATCAAATTACCAATGGCATTTTTTACAGAACTAGAACAAAAAATTTTTTAATTTGTATGCAGACACAAAAGACCCTGGATAGCCAAAGCAGTCTTGAGGGAGAAAAACGGAGCTGGAGGAATCAGGCTTCCTAACTTCAGACTATACTACAAAGCTACAGTGATCAAGACAATATGGTACTGGCACAAAAACAGGATAGAAAGCCCAGACATAAACCCACACACATATGGTCAGCTAATCTATGACAAAGCAGGCAAGGATATACAATGGAGAAAAGACAGTCTCTTCAATAAGTGGTGCAGGGAAAACTGAACAGCAAATGTAAAAGAATGAAATTAGAACACTCCCTAACACTATACACAAAAATAAACTCAAAATTGATTAGAGACCTAAATGTAACACTGGACACTGTAAAACTCTTAGAGGAAAACATAGGAAGAACACTCTTTGACATAAATCACAGCAAGATCTTTTTTGATCCACCTCCTAGGGTAATGGAAATAAAAACAAAAATAAACAAATGGGACCTAAGGAAACTTAAAAGCTTTTGCAAAGCAAAGTAAACTACAAACAAGATGAAAAGACAACCGTCAGAATGGGAAAAAATATTTGCAGATGAATCAACAGACAAAGGATTAATCTCCAAAATATATAAACCACTCATGCACCTCAATATTAAAAAAACAAACAACCCAATCAAAAAATGGACAGAAGACCTAAATAGACATTTCTCCAAAAAGGACATACAGATGCCAAGAAGCACATGAAAAGCTGCTCAACATCACTAATTATTAGAGAAATGCAAATCAAAACTACAGTGAGGTATCACCTCACACCACTTAGAATGGGCATCATCAGAAAATCTACAAACAACAAATGCTGGAGAGGGTGTGGAGAAAAGGGAACCCTCTTGCACTGTTGGTGGGAATGTAAATTGATACAGCCACTATGGAGAACAGTATGGAGGTTCCTCAAAGAACTAAAAATAGAACTACCATATGACCCAGCAATCCCACTACTGGGCATAAATCCAGAGAAAACCATAATTCAAAACGACACATGCAGGGCTTCCCTGGTGGCGCAGTGGTTGAGAGTCTGCCTGCCGATGCAGGGGACACGGATTCGTGCCCCGGTCTGGGAAGATTCCACATGCTGCGGAGCGGCTGGGCCTGTGAGTCATGGCCGCTGAGCCTGCACGTCCGGAGCCTGTGCTCCGCAACGGGAGAGGCCACAACAGTGAGAGGCCCGTGTACCAAACACACACAAAAAAGACACATGCACCCCAATGTTCTTTGCAGCACTATTTTACAATAGTCAGGTCATGGAAGCAACCTAAATGCCCATCGACAGACGAATGGATAAAGAAGATGTGGTACATATATACAATGGAATATTACTCAGCCATAAAAAGGAACAAAATAGGGTCATTTGTAGAGACATGGATGTATCTAGAGACTGTCATACAGAGTGAAGTAAGTCAGAAAGAGAAAAATAAATATCGTATATTAATGCATATATGTGGAACCTAGAAAATGGTACAGATGAACTGGTTTGCAGAGCAGAAATTGAGACACAGAAGTAGAGAACAAACGTATGGATATCAAGGGGGGAAAGCGGCGGGGGGTGGGGGTGTGATGAATTGGGCGATTGGGATTGACATGTATACACTGATGTGTATAAAATGGATGACTAATAAGAAAATAAATAAATAAATACATTTTGTGAGGATGGCCAAAAAAAAGAAACAATGTGGTATTAGTACAAAAACGTCATATAGATCAATGGAACAGAATAGAGAGCCCAGAAATAAATCCACACACCTGTGGTCAATTAATCTTCGACAAAGAGGCTAGAATATACAATGGAGAAAAGATAGTCTCTTCAACAACTAGTGTTGGGAAAGCTGTACAGCCACATGTAAATCAATGAAGTGAGAACACTTCCTCACACCATAAACAAAAATAAACTCAAAATGGCTTAAAGACTTAAATACAAGACATGATGCCGTAAAACTCCTAGATGAGAACATAGGCAAAACATTCTTTGACATAAACCATAGCAATGTTTTCTTAGGTTAGTCTCTCAAGGCAATATAAATAAAAGCAAAAATAAACAAATGGGACCTAATCAGACATATAAGGTTTTGCACAGCAAAGAAAACCATCAGCAAAATGAAAAGACAACCTACAGAATGGGAGAAAATATTTGCAAACGATGCAAGTGACCAGGGCTTAATTTCTAAAATACACAAATGCTCATACAACTCAGTAACAAAATACAAACGACATAATCAAAAAATGGGTAGAACACCTAAATAGACGTTTCTCCAAAGAAGACATACAGATGGCCAACAGGCACATGAAAAGATGCTCAACGTCACTAATTATTAGAGAAATGCAAATCAAAACCACAATTAGAAATCACCTCACACTTATCAGAATGGCTATCATCAAAAAAATCTACAAATAACAAATGCTGGAGAGGGTGTGGAGAAAAGGGAACCCTCCTACACTGTTGGTGGGAATGTAAATTGGTATAGCCACTATGGAAAACAGTATGGAGGTTCCTTAAAAAACTCAAAATAGAGCTACCATATGATCCAGCAACTCCCGTCCTGAGAATATATCTGGAGAAAACTATAATTAGAAAAGACACATGTGCTTCAATGTTCACAGCAGCACTATTTACAATAGCCAAGACATGGAAACAACCCAAGTACCCATCAACAGATGACTGGATTAAGAAGAGGTGGTATATGTATATAAAATGGAATATTACTCAGCCATTAAAAAAGAATGAAATATGGCCATTTGCAGCAACATGGATGAACCTAGAGAATATTATACTTAGTGAAGTCAGAAAAAGACAAATTTATATGATCTCACTTGTATGTGGTATCTAAAAAATAATACAAATGAATCTATACACAGAACAGAAACAGACTCACAGACATAGAAAACAAATTTATGGTTACCAAAAGGGAAAAAGAGGCAGGGGGAGGTATAAATTAGGAGTATGGGATTAACAGATACAGACTACTGTACATCAAACAGATAAGCAACAAAGACTTACTGTATACCACAGGAAACAATATTTGATACATTGTGATAACCTATAATGGAAAATAATCAGAAATATGTAGGTAGATAGATAGATATAACCTAATCACTTTGCTGTATACCTGAAACTAACACAATATTGTAAATCAACTATACTTCAATTAAAAAAATAAATACATAGAATTTTTAAATTATTTGAGGGAAAATTAACAAATTTATAATATTAGGCTCTACTACTTTTAAAAATGTTAAAGCTTTTCGTTCAAGGTCTTTTAAAAATGTTCTTTAAAAGAGTTTTCAAAATGCCTCCAACAAGGTCAGAGATTATCTCCTATTGTATTTTCCAGTGATTATTACTGGTATAGATAAATGCTATCTTTACAAGTTTATTTTGTATCCAGCTCCTTTGTGACTCTGTAAATGCTAACAATTTGCTAACTCTGGTGGGGGTTTTTTGGTGGACAATAACAACATCTGCAAAAAATAAAATTAAAAAAGAAAAGAAAAATGAAAAATAAGACAGTTTGCTTCTTCCCTTACAATTCTCATACACTTGTTTGTTTGTTTGTTTTGTTTTATTGTTCAGGACTTCTAAAGTGGATAACATTTTTGTCTTATTCCTGACCTTGAAAGGAACTTGGGTTCTGTTCATTTTTATTTTTAATTATATCTCATTTTCTTGTTTCTTGTCCCTTTTGATTTACTCTATTGCTTTGTACCAACCACGTGGGTCTTATTGATTTTATTGCTGGGGTGCAGTGGACCTATTTTTTTTGTCTAAGCTTTATGTGTGTTCTAAAGTACAAAAGGGTTGACAACCACCAGTCTATAACCATTGTTCTCACAATTACCTGACTTGATTTCATGTGAGGCTTTTGAAAAACATAAACTCTCGGGCAAGGCATTTAGTGATTATGATTCAGCTGATCTGGGCTGCAGCTTGAGAATCCATATTTTTAGAAAAGTTTGCAGGCACTTCTGACTATCGATAAGATTTGGAAATTACTGAATTTGAGAACCTATAAAAACATGATCTAGTGCTAAAAGGATAAAAAGGAACCTCTAAGGTTCTAAAGATTTTTCAGTAAGAAGTTAACAGATGTTTAGGTGGTTTGGGGGAAAATGTGGAGGTGGCCAGCCATCCTGGAAGAGGTGTATTAATAAAGAGTGAGAGGTGAAGGAAAGGAAGGTCAGCTCCAGAAAATAAAAACAGTTACTCATTAAAATGTATCAATAGAATGCAAAAAAGGAGTGGCAGGAACTAGAGAGAGTTATAAAAGAGGTCATAGCATAAAGCCATATCAAAATTAGACTTTACCCCCAGGGTAATGAGAAGCCATTGAAGGGATTTAAGCAGGGAGGGATGTGAAGAGAGTTTTGCTTGAGAAGGACTGATTTAGCAACAATGGAGAAAATTAATTGGGGAGAAAGCGGAACTGAAGTTTTGACCCTTGGAATGCTTCTACAATTCAGGAAATAAACAATGGTGACTTGAATTATAATACAGTTGGGGAAGAAAAGACTATTAGACAAGGGTAAAAGATATACATAAGTAGAACTAACAGAAGGTAATGATGACTGGTGATAAGATGTATAAGAAAAGGAAGAGTAAATGCACTGGAATCAATTTATTACTCATAAGTATTCTCTGAGCTCTATATTTTGGATTTAATATATTTATCTACAACTGTTCAGGCATTCTCAAAAACACTGAGGTTAAAGATAAATGTGTAGTATACATTTTATTCAAAATTGTCAGAGTTTAAATAAAATTGATGATAATATGTAAATAAATATTCAAACACAGAATAAGTAAAAATTATTTGGACAGGTTCATTTCATAGTATGTCACATTCCTTCTCCCACGTGAGCTCTACCATCAGCGCCACACACAGCAAAGCCACCCTCCTCAGCCCTCAAGACACATACTGCAGGGGGGATCAGCTAGACGTCCTGCTGGAGGTGAGGGACCACTTGGGACGCAGGAAGGAATATGGCGGGGATTTCCTGAGGGCCAGGATGTCCTCCCCAGCCCTGAAGGCAGGCGCTTCGGGAAAGGTGACAGACTTCAACAATGGCACCTACCTTGTCAGCTTCACCCTGTTCTGGGAGGGCCGGGTGTCTCTGTCTCTCCTGCTCATCCTCCCCAGTGAAGGGGTGTAGGCTCTCTGGAGGGCAAGGAACCAAGGCTATGACAGGGTGATCTTCACGGGCCAGTCTGCCAGTGGCACCTCCCATGTCAATACTGATTGCGCCCTGGTTTTAAATTCAAGTGCTGAACTGTGTGAGAACCTGGATACTCGTGTCCAAGAATTCTACTTTCTGACCTCAACACACACTCTGTGAGGCCCTGACTGACATGACCACCAGGAATGGAGAAATTTCTTATCTTACTGTCAAGAAAGAAGCTTTTTTTCACAGCTAAGTATAATTTTAGATACCCTGAGAGGTGCCCACAGGCAGAGCTACATTGCCTACCTCAATTAATATTGAGCATGGGGCTTCCCTGGTGGCGCAGCGGTTGAGAGTCCGCCGACCGATGCAGAGGACATGAGTTCGTGCCCCGATCTGGGAAGATCCCATGTGCCGCGGAGCGGCTGGGCCCGTGAGCCATGGCCGCTGAGCCTGCGCGTCCGGAGCCTGTGCTCCGCAACGGGAGAGGCCACAATGGTGAGAGGCCCGCGTACCGCAAAAAAATATATATATATATTGAGCATGACCCTCTCAGATGCCTCTTTAAGGTCTGATCAGGTATGCGGCATCTTCCTGAGCCCCCTGTTCATGACTCCTACCACCAGGGTTGGCATTCTCACTCAGATGTTCAATAAAAGAGGGCTGCCCAAGGTGAACTATATTATATATGCCTGTCCTTCTCCATGATGACCGGTATTCTCAGATTCAGTCATATCTTTTACTGTAGACCTAGGTTTTACAAAATATTTTCAATGGAAAAGAATTCTGCTGTGTTAGTTAATAGATGTTACACCAGAAAAGGATTCCTTGATAAGTGTATGGTAACATCCATGCTGCTTCATCCCCCATATCATATTCTGTAGATTCTACCTCTTAAGTATCTTTCACATTTATCCATTTCTCTCCATGATTACTGCTCTTACCTGAGTTCAGATCATCATCATCTCATCTAGATTACTTGTCACAGATTCCTTTCTGCCTAGCCTACCCTCTCTAATCCATTGTCCACACTGCAGCCTGAGTCATCTTTCCAACGATCCAACTCCTTCCTACTGGTCATCCCCAATTGATCTCAAGATCAGGTATTCTCAGATATTCTCAGATATCAGGTTGGAGGAGTCCTCCATACTCCCTGAGTTGTGATCTAGTGATTTTCGGAAGCCTCCAGTTGAACAGACCTCCATAAACTGGGGTGTAAGCATGTTTCTCATATCAATCATGGCAGTGTCAATGCCAAGATTTTCTCCCATTCCTCACAAACATACTTACTTCCTGGTCTGCCAGCTCTACCATAAGCTGCAAAACACTTCATGAGTCACTTTGGGAATTTACAAAGGATAACTTATATGCCACCACAAATCCCAGAACCTGTGGGCCAATCCCTGAGACAACCTATCAGTTCCAGACTCTTTGGCTACTTTTCTAACTTTCTGTAAGTCTCAATCCATTTCCTTTTCCCTTTCCATTCTTTTTTTTCCCCCTAGGGATCCATTTTTTTTTCCTGGGAATTCACTTTCCTTAAGCTTGGCCATAGAGTGGAATGCTAGGTTCTCAGCAACCCCTTTCTCAGCAGTTTTCTAAGTCAAGCTTACAGTCTTTTCCCCTTAAGCTCCCAAAAAATACGCTAAGAGGAAGTAACGTATGGATAGCAAACATGGAAAAATAACATGCATTTCAGATCTTACAGAGTTATCCAAGTGTTGGCTTCTGATCAATAGTCTTTGATTCCCTTCTGAAACAAGTAAAAGCACAGTTGGGTTTCTGTTCTTTCCCTTTGATCTCTGATGGTACCCCTCACCAAATCTCTTCCTACCCAGTAAGTGTCCTTATGCCTAAGTCCCAGTAAGGATGAAAATGTGTTGATCCCTTCCTTTCTCTGGATTGAACCTGAAGAGACATCCATAGTAGCGAATCAGGTATTACTTATATCCGTTGTACTACCTGGCACCTGGGTCCCTATTCCCCCGTGTCCCCTTTCTGCCTGCTACCGCTTACCTACACATGTACACAGGACTGGAACAAAGAGTGAATCAAAGGGAGAGTAAGAGCTTTGAAGTAGGAGAGTCAGAGAGTCTTTCATCCACTGGAGGAAAGAAATGCAGTGTATATTTATTCATGCATCAGACTGAACATGACTTTCTGCCAGCCACTTTGTGAGGTATCAGGGACACAGCAGTGGACCAGGCAAATATATTACCTTCCTTCATAAAGATTACAACCCTCGGAAAGCAAGTTTCTAGGAAAAATGGAAGGTAAACATAGCAGAAAACATATATAAAGAGAGAAGCAGGAACCCTATGAGAAGAGGTCTTCATGCCAGGCTAAGAAGCCTGAACTCCTTAGGTAAGTGATGGGGATTTTAAATAAACAACTTTAAAATAAAGGATTTTAAGCAGTAATGCAGTTGCATTTGCAATAAGAAAGGATGCTCTGGCAGTTGTGTTGAAGAATTTAGATGGGATAAAATTGAGATGGCCTGGCTAGAGGCTGACAGTAATCTAAGAAAAATACTGTATGAACTTGAATAAGTGATGTGTAAGTAGAGAGAGAGGAGGACTTTCAGATTAGATAAATACTTTGAAACTAAAATTCCAGGACACACTGATTGCATGTGACAGAAGAGCAGAGCTGCCCTGGACTTCAAGGTGCTCCCAGAAAGGTAAATAGTTTTCCTAATGCATATACAATGGATATACAATAAAAAATCCTAATTCATATACAATGCCCAATAGATACAATATTTACAACAACCATAATAGCTTGCAGTTGTAGCAAATTTTAAATTATCCTTCACTCACAAGCTTCTATTACTTGTATTGTGTCAACAGACAGCAGGGTAATTTGTTGTCTTATATTTTTGAAGGTCCAGTATAGGAGTTGAAATGATGAAACATCTTAACCACATTGATGTCTCCTGATATAACAGTAAGTTTGCTTTGTCCTGTGGTAGGTGGTGCTTGGCATGGATCTTCTAAGAGACATTCTGACACAGAGGAAACTTTATCAGAATCAACCCTAGCAATCACGATTTTCCAGGAACACCATTCCTAGCAGGGGTCTGTGGTGTCAATCACCTTGGATTTTAAAGAGAGAAATCAATTCAAGGAAATTATTTCAAACTCTTTTTATAACAGATTTCATCTCAATTTATCCCAAAGGGGAAAGTATTCATATCCTACATCCATATTTAAACCCAGGAATGCATCTCCTAGAGTCAGTGATTCTGTCTGGGGGACATTCTGTACAAATCTCTGATGGATACCCACAGCTTCAGAGTAGGAACATTTTGGTTTAGTTAGCCGAATTCTCTGTGGGCATACCTTCCTAACCTTTAGTGGATGCACTTAGCAGTTTTATATGGAGTTTTCTGTTTCATTAAATGTGTTTTAGTGTTAAACACAAAGCCATGTTACTTATGAAAGAACAATGTTTATACTTAGCTTTAAAATAACTTTCTTTAAAGCCTAAGAGTTTACCAATAACAATCATTTTGAGATGTACCTCAACTGATTTATTGCCTAATATTTATTCATTTATTCAGCAAATGTTTATCGAGATTCTAACAGATATGAGGCGTTATGGGCAAATGGAGAAAAATAAATGTTCAGCAAGGCTGCAATCTGAAAGACATTTAACCTACCAATTCTATGAAGGAAGTAAAAAGGCAGAAGGGCTTATGATAAGGTGGTATTTGACTTAGCCCCAAAGGATATCTGTAGACAGGGAATGAGGTGAAAGAGAAAACTCATAAAGATCATGAGTAAGGTTGCCAGGTTTAGCAAATAATAATACAAAGTGTCAGTTCAATTTCAGTAATTCCTAATTTCTTATGCATATGACATGAGATAAAGGGAAAATATTGCACGAGAAATACTGACACTAAAAAATTATTGCTCCTTAAAAATAATTCAACTTCAATTTAGTATTCCGTATTTTTTTAATCTGGTAACTCTACTCAGGAGCAAAATCATCATGAACTTTGTTCAACAGCCCAAAGGAGTGAGAGCATTTGGTGGAATGTAGTGAAGCATGAGGCTAAAAAAAGGAAGAAGCTAAATCATGGAGGCTCTCAAGTACAAAGCTGAGGATTTTAGTGTTTATTCAGTAAGTTTTCGAAAGCTACAAAAAAACAATGAAGGAAGAGAGTGATGCAATCTGCTTTGTACTTTAAAGAGCTAATTCACAATTTAACAAAATGTGCATGACCTACAGAAAGACAATTTAAATTGCTACTAAGTGATATAAAATAAAATTTATACAAATAGATGAAAAAATACTGTTTGTTTCTGGGTGGGATGACTTGATACTGAAAAAAATGTCAATCATCTCTGCGTTATTTTCTTATTGTTGCTGTAACAAAGTATCTTGAACAACAAAAATGTATCATCTTGAAACAACAAAAATGTATCACCTTGCAGTTCTGTAGTTCAGTAGTTCAACATCAGTCTCACTGGGCTAAAATTAAGGTGTAGCAGGACAGCATTCCCTTCTGGAGGCTCTAGGGCAGAATCAGTTTCCTTGTCATTTCAGGCTTCTGGAGGCTGCCCACATTCCTCGCAGCCCCCTTCCTCCTTTTTTACAAAGCTACAATGGTGGGTCAAGTCCTCACACCACATCTTTCTGACCCATTTTTCTGCTTCCCTCTTCCACTTTTGATAACTAAAGTGATTCAGATTGGTCCCACCCAGATAATCCAGGATAATCTCCCAGCTCAAAACCCATACCCGTAATCATATCTGGAAAGTCCCACTTGCCATGGAAGGTAACATATTCACAGGTCTCAGGGATTATAAAGTAGATATTTTTGGAGGGCCATTAGTCTGCCTGCCACAATCCCTAAACTAATCAATAAATACAATGGAATCTTAAAACTATTATTAACATACTCTTAAAAATATTCAAGCCTATTCTAAAATTATCAAGTAAAATAAACATGTAAGACTGATCATAAGAGAATTTGCTATATATTTGAAATAGTCCTGCAGAGCGCTTAGTTTGACACTTGGCAAAAATGAATACCCTGACACATTAATATTATACAAGATATGGTTTATGATAATAAACTCAAAGGCTATCTTTCTCACCAAAGTATGCCAGTGCATTATTAGGATGGGTAGAGCAATGTTAAGTTTCCACGGTTATGATATTCAGCCATCCAGGATGTGATGCTGTCAAACATCATAGAAGGTCAAACATGTCACATGGAAATTCCAACACAGGAATTTCATAGGATTATGGAAACTCTCTTTAGCAGGCCAAAATCTCCAGGACTTAACAACTCCTCCAGGTCATCAAGGAATAGCTAATCCAGAATTTTTCCAGTTCTGCAATCAGCACCATT